CCCCCACCGCCAGGGGCCTGCCCCGCGGGCTGGGCCGCCAGAGGGGGGCGGGGCGGGGCGACCCCACGAGCCAGGATTCCAGCCCGGCCCCTTGGGGCGTGGCCGGGCGGAGCGGGGCGGGGCGCTGAGCTCCAAAACACCTTCCAGGGTCCTTGCTGGTAGAAGAGGCTTCGTCGTAGATCTTGGAAAAGGAAGACGATCCTAAGTTTTCTAACATAACGTGTCACCTTTTACATCAGCCCGAAAATATCCCAGTGCTAGCCTGACTACACCTCCCCCTCGTTACGGGAAACGCCCGTGGACACGGGCTTTATAGCTCCCTGACGGACAAAAAGGAGACAAGGTATCAGTGAACCATAAAATTTACATATAAAAAAATGCACACTTTATATATGGACCAGATTTTTTCTCTAAGTTTTTAGCTCCTGGTAATAAAAGCCCGGGCAGGGGCCTCGGCAACATATTAGCTGCCCCCTGCTCCACAGCAATCCAGCTTTCGATTGCAGAAGTCCTTAGCCCGAGTTCAAGACTTCCTAGCAAGCACCCCTGCCCCAACTCGTACTGGTCTGGCCCTAGTGCCCCATGACCCCAACCAGGGGTTCAGAGCTCTCTCTGCTAGGTGCTATAGGAAACATCTATGCATCTGTTAGTTATCCCTACAAATACAAGAACAGTACCAATTATATTGACACCTTTATAGATTTATTTTATTCTTCCAACTATTAACAGCATATTTGTATATTATCCATACTATACACTTCAATCCAAAGAGTGGGTTACTCCCCTAATACAACAGCTGTGCTTTTTCAAAGTTACCAGTAACCAGGCATCTTGAGTACATTGCAAAATACATCAGATGTGCACCTTACAAAATAACTTACACCATTCACAACAATATACAAATAAAACACTTTGTAAAAAATATTTGAATTCTTTTAAACTCTTGAGACCAAAATTATTCTGGTAAAATTAAAAAGACCCTTACTATTTGAAGATGCACATCCAAAAAAGTTAGTGGACTTTTATTAAGTTTTATAAAGTTTATGAACGTTTATAAATCTAGAAGTAATGAACAGGTATCTATCCAATTTATATTTGTACAAAAATACTTTAGTTAGAAAAGAAAACTAAACAATATAAAGCTTTCTTTAACAAAACATTTTCTAAGACAATTACTGTAGACCCCATTAAGCAAGGCACTCAAGCAAATACATAACTAAGTTCTTTTAAGTTATGCATGTTTCAAGTTTAATTATTTTTCTGGATCACAGCAGTACTGCCTAACACTTTTTTTTTTTTCCATTTTGTTACTTAGTGTTTGGCAATATTTCTCATTAAATACATAGTAGCAGCAAGGACTGTGTCATCTTGTCTGTTTGTACAATATTTTGCTATGCTGAGTCCTAATCCTTTGTTCTACTGCAAGACATTTTAATTAAAATAATGATGACAAGAACCAGATTCAGCCTCTTACAGAGACCAAATGAAATAGTGAAGAATTGTTTTTATATAAAATTTACTCTCCAAGTATTGCAGTCAATGGGACAGTTGAGTTTTGCTTAAATTGTTACAAGAACATCTCTTAATTTTTCATAATTGTGCCCAAGTATTCTAACCCCCCCCAACAAAGTGCTTGTATTATTTCTTCGATCAAAAAATAACAAACTAAATAAGAATAATAGTCTTAAGTCTATTTGTTATTAAATACAAAAAGGGAGGCAGGCACTGCATTCTTGTTTGCTTTCTTGCAATAGATGCTAAAAAGTGACACCTTGCAATAGATGTATCTAACCTCCCAGTATTGTTTTAAATATCTGCATACCAGAATAGTGCAAAGAGCTCCCCCCGCAAAAGTGCTGCATCATCAATACAAACATATGGGTCACAGTTTTTGGCTGTTACACTCAAATGTCTCTCTAAAAAAAACAAACCAAAACAGTAGTATTTCCAGTGCATTAGGCCAAATGCACTCCTGGTTGTAACAGCACCGATGTCAGTGGAGTTACATTAGGAATAAATTTGGTCTTTTATATACACTCCTTCATAACAGTAAATAAGACTGATCTTAAAAGATCATACTGTACATTAAAAAACATTTTTCCTCCAATAGTTATTCTAGTTGCAAAACACATTGACTTTGTGTGCATGTGGTATAGTAATATGCACTACTTTATGTACTACACAAACACGTGTATATGTAGTATTATGTGTGTATGTGTGCATCTGTGTACACACACACACTGCTCCCCTCTTCACTAATACCTCTTTCAATGTGCATATGAAAGAACATGGTGACGCATGACAAAAATGAAACTTAACTTACTGGTAAATTAATCAAGTATTTTTAACATAACTTAAGTGGCGATCTATTTCCTCCCACTCACCACCTGAGAAAGATTTTCATTTCATTCCTGAAACTGATCGTAGAGGAAATACCTTATTTGTTATTGAGTTGTATCAGTGCCAGATTTTAGGCTTAAACTACTTAAGCTACAGTTTAGGGGCTTGCAATATGGGGAGCCTCTAAATAAAAAAAACCTGGACATTTTCATTCCAATATGACAAAAATACACATATATATGGCTCCACAGTTATTCATATTGAGTTAATAAATTTGTGCAGAAATAATAATTCATCTTAAAATTTCAGGAAAATCCATTGTCGTGGATTTCATGGATTATTTTTATTGTATGAGGCCTCTTAAGATGGACATAGTTTGGGGCCTCTTAAAATGGACGTAGCTTAGGGCCTCAGCATGTCATAATCCGGCACCAAGTTGTATCTTTAATTATAATATAGGTGATTTACAGTTATCATTTATTAAGACTAACTGCAACTTCTACCTTTTTGTATTATATGATCAGCAGAGCCATGCTAGATCGTACCTAGTAAAGTAAGTATGAACTTCCCCTTGCTCCTTCAGTTACAGGGGGACTGCTTGAGTACAGCACTAGTTCTGTTTTCTCCTACTTTGTCCGCTCCGCTCCCCTCCCCTGCCCCTCCCCCATCCTCGCTGTCCAGGATTAGCAAGTATTTGTTTAGGAAGTACTCACTAAGTCTCCTATAATTGCCTGGCAGCACTGCTGTTTAGCAATCTTATGGATGCCTTCACCATAAAACTGGGGACATTAGCTCTGTAACACAAGGTCTTCCTTGTGCACTGATCCGATTTCATATTAGCTTAATAAACATAAGAAAGAATTTGGTATATTTAAGGTACATTCGCTAAAGACAAAATAAGATTTTTCTTTTCCTTTCTACTTACTCCCTATGCCAGGAAACTGATTTCCAAAGTAAACACTTCAGCTGCATCATTGCATAGTACAAACTGTGAAAGGAAGATTCTGAAACATCTCATTTGAAAGGGACAGTTTTCACAGTAAGAAAAACACAACATTCATGTTACTGCTCTTGGAAAACCAGACTGTGTTTATGTACATCTTCAATTTTTCTCATGTTTGTATTTAGCCCTTAATACCTGCTGTGTTGACATTCACTATCATCTTTGTAAGACATGACTGACTATTCATGTATGAACCCACAACAGGCTCTGACTTAAATATGGCATGGGTATTTATTTTTAAAATTTTTATTTCATTTGAAGATAGTGGCTCTAACTCTTGATATTTCCCTTCACTCAGAATAATACTATAAAGAAGGAGGGCAGCCAAACAAAAGTTCTAGCTCTGAAGAACACTTATTGAACTATTGTAATATGACTAAAGGGATGGCTTTTGGTGACCTCTGAAGAAAAAAAGTCAAGTGATTAGATTTGTTCCTTCCCTCTTGCCCCAAAATGAGCATACGTACCAAATTCTAGGATTCTAGCTGAGTAATTAATCAGTTAATTAAAGGCCTTCCGTATTATACAACAGTTGATACTACAGTACAGGCATGGTTATTCCAAAACCATGTATCTGGTTATCAAAGTATTATCATGCATTATGCTAGCTGTTTCATGGTGATCCAATGCTACAGCAACAAAGCATATAATATACACACAGAATGGTATGTCTTTTGGCACCAAAGATGTAATTAACAATTGCCTGTACAAAGCTAGATAGTTTCTGCACAATTTAAAAAGTGTTTAAACGTGAAGCGTATGGTTGATTTAAATATTTTTTCACTTAAAATACTTTATAGCAAAGGAAAAAGGAAGGATAGTACTGTAAGAAAAAAAAAATGTAGGAGGCAGTATCCAAAACTAATCTGGTGCACTGACCTAGAGAGGCTCAGGGAACTTGTGCCTTAAATAAAATTTACTGACAATCCAAATTCAGATAGCTACCTGTAATGTGAATGAAAGCCGCACGCTTACTATATTTACCCACATCCAAGATGACTCTGAAATTAAGATGACCCCCCAAAGCTTAAGTTCTATATATGGAAAATTTATAAATGTGTTATACATTTTCCATGTATAGAATCTAATTATTGGAGGGTTGTCTTAAATTTGTTCCTCCACTGCTGTAGCAGGGGGGCAGGTGATGGGGCAGCAAGTGATGAGGGGGGCAGTAGTAGGACAGGAGGAGAGTCAAGCAACCTGATCCCTACCCCTTGTCTCCCCACACATTGCGCTCTGCCACCTGTCCTTACTTGTCCCTCCTACTTGCCCCTCCTGATGCCTGTGTGGTCTAGTACCTGCTTCCCCGCCACCGCCCCACTAGAGAGGACTGGAGCCGGAGGTGGTGGAGGGGCAAGGGTGGGCAGGTGTTGCAGCTCTGACTCCAGGCCTGACGCCCTCCCCATGTAAAATGAGGGAAAAAAAAAAAAACTTGTCTTGGATTCAAGTAAATAGGGTATATCAGAGGGTAGAATATCACCTCTAGGTAATAAACTTTTTGTTCTGTTTTTGGAAAGATCTAGTAAAATATATAGTGGCTGGTTTCCCCATAGCTTCACATAGTGAAATTTGTAAATAAAACAGCTAGCAAGATTAGTTTCTCATTAACCATCTTTAGCAAACATGTTATCAGTTTCCTCTTCATTCATCCCCCTTTGATAACGTACTGCAGAGAAGCCACCCCACTGAAGTCGTTTCTTTTTATGGAGATACCAAATTAATCCAGCAATTAGGATTATGATTATGAAGAGAGCAAATGCTATGGCCACACCAGCATGATTAGAACCTGAAAGAGACAAAAGAAGACAGTCATCTTCTATTCCTAGATAACAATATTTATTGAACGACAAGGATTTTACAGGGCTGCCATACTATATTTCTACTGTACAGCTTTAATGTAAGGCCATTTTATTGAAGTTAAGGATATCTAGTTTAAATTATACAGATACACAATAATACTCTTCATTCTATTGTTCTAAAAGTTAGATTATTGTAAAATGTCAAATCATTAATAGCTCATTTTGAATCACTTAAAATTTCAATTGTGACACTCTTTTGAGGCTAAATGAACTAAAGAGCCTACTTGGTCTTCAGAATCATTTTTCTCCCCTTCTTAATAGCTTCTGTACCTCAATGCATAGCTAAGCTGGCCCCCAAGTTTCTCAGATAAAACTCTGCCTTTATTTCTGACGTGGGAAGTTGCTGAAGTTAAATTTCCCCCTAGCACTATTCAGGGAAATCCTAAGTTCCCATTGTTTCTGTCCTCAACTTGTATATAAGCATCAAAAAGATCCCACTGCTTCCACATCTGCTTTTCCTGACCTGAACAACAGACCCTTGCTTTGGATGAAGTAGTGTGGGAGAAAGTGTCATGGGTACTGATTCCTCTCCCATGAGGCTATTTTCAGAACTAATGACTTGGACAGAAGAGACAACTCACAAGTCCCATGGGTTCCTTTAACTCCTTCTACAATAAGCCTGTGCAAATAGGGAGGTATAGGGACAGCGATTCAATTCAGATCACTGTCCTCAATCAATTCGGCCAAAAGGTCTTTGGAAGATTCAGCGCCAATTCGGTGATTCGGCCATAGACTCTAATGGGGAATCACTGAAATACCTATAACTATCATTTTTTTGGCAGATATGGATGAAAACAGCAGAGATGGTAGCCCCTTCTGAGGGCATGAGACCTGCCAAGTTTCAAGGAGATATGAGCAGGGCTTTCAGGGAAACTGCACCTCAAGCTTCTGAAAGCAAAACTCGTGACATGTCACTGTGTGTGTGTGTTAATGTACAGCAGGATGAAAACAGCAGGGATGGTAGCCTGTAACAGGGGGCCTTCCTGGTGCTGGTTAGATCTCCGCCCACCCACCTGTTTCTGGGCCAGCCGCCCACCCCTTTTGCTCAGGCAGAAATAGCTCACAAAAGGGACAGAAAGGCTGCAGATACAGGCTTACATGCTGTTTCTACATCCCTCCCCCAGAGCACTGTGATTGGAAGGGGACTCAGAAAAATCAGTCACTGGCCAGCTACAGATGTCAGTTCCATCCCCGCTTCTCAGTTTGTTCCCCTGCAAGACTGCCTTCCGAATCACCGAATCTTTGCCTAATTGATTTGGAGGATTTTTTTTTTGGTCCCGCGATTCAATTCGAGTTTGGTAATTCAGCCTCTGAATCGGGCCGAATCTTCTCCAAATCAAATTGACAACCAAAGATTTGCACGCCCCTACTCTGCAACACATGATCTTCTCCCAGAGGGCAGCTTTTCTCTTCTTATTTGCTTCTCTTGGCGGGTTGGCGAGGGGGATATGTGGAGCTGCCCAAGGATTCCCATCAGGGAAGGAGTTGCTAATCATCTTTCTGCCCCAATAGGGACAGAGAGATCCCACTGCTATAAGATTTGCAAGCACAGCAGACCAAAAAACCTTTGATTTCTCTCCGCAAAAGGAAAAAAAGAGGAGCTCATGGGATGACTCTGCGAGATGGGAGGGGCAGGGAGTGAGAAGGAGCAATTGAGGTAACTATTCACGCTCTCTTCTTACTGGTGGAAAAGCAGCTGTGGCTCAGCTCCCCTGCCCCGACCCCTCCTGCAACTCCAGGAGGTAGAAATACTCAGGAAATCTCTCAGAGGATGTCTCCCTGTTTCTTACAACTAAACTGTTGTATATTAAATTATTCTCTAGGTAGAAAGCCCATAGAAGGCCTATGCAACAGCTGAGACCCGCTTAAAACAGAACTTCAGCATGCTCTGAAGTAAATTTAAATCTCAACACTTTTTACACAGGACTTATGGGAAAGTCTTTAAATATAATAATTAGAAGAATTATGAGCAGTCTACTGAAACCAAGGCTGACATACCTAGAGGAGCTTTACATACAACTCTCCTTTGACTATTATTGCAGTCAACTTTAGACCATGCTCCATTTGTGGATACGATAACACTGCATTTACCACTAACTTCTGAAGTTCCATTTCCCCAGTTGGCATAATTAAGTGCTGAGCCATCAAGCCAGGTCAATGACTGATCTGTAGAGAAAAGTATTGCCTATTAGATTGCTTTGTTAGATTACCATTAAAAGTTTCTATATTAATAGATAATGTAAAAACTGATTAATTTAGGTCTTCACTTTTAAAAAAAGTGCATATCATAAAAAGTAAAAAAAAAAAAATCTAATTTTTAAAAACAATACTTACAACATATATCATATTTGTATTTATTATGCCTATACACATATCTACCCTCACACACCATCCTCAGCAGCCTTAGGGAGCAGACAGACAACTTCTGAAATGCTTTACATCATAACAGGCTTGGAAGTGTTTCAGAAATGTAGCATGTCAGCTACTGAACACACATACAGCTCCTGGCTGAATTGTTGCAAAATCGCTGTGGCTGTATGCAGCAATGTATTTTCCAGCCAACGCATGTCATAAGGGGTTACAGTAATTTGCAGATTTGCTGTCCTGCTACCTCCCTCCCTTCCTCCACAGGGCAGGGAAATAGAGTGGACTATCAGTGCTGTTCTGCAACCTCCATCTCCCTTAGCATGGTAAAAGGCACACCAGTTTTTGCAGCCAACAAAGGAGGAATGCATCTAGTCAGGCTTGATTCTCCCTGGCAAATGAGCAGGTGCCTTTTACAGCTGGTTGAACTGGAAAAGCCTTTAGTAAATTCAGAGCAGGGCTTGAATTCATGCTTCTCAAGCTATAGCTAGGTACCTTGGACCCACTCTGCCATCACGTCCCACCTCTCAATGTGCAGCTCCATGTAAAAAAACCCCACAAAATTAAGAAGAAAAAACAACTGGAGCAATATAAGCACTTCAAAAGGAAGGATAGCACCCCTCTTGCCAGGCACAGATTGAAGGGAAAAAAAAAAAAAAAGGACATTCAGAAGCAGCTCCAGATCCAATACAACCTCCAAGTTTCACCCTATTTTTCAAATGGCAGTTGCATGTTCATATAAGTTTTACCAATTCTACCCTTAAGGGTGTGTAAAACGGGCCACATTCGATTCGGATTCTGCCCGAATCGGGGTCAGTGATTCGATTCATTGATTCGGATCACTGTCCCCTATTTGATTCGTCCAAATCCAAAGATTTGATGCTGATCCGGAGAATCAGTGATTCGGCCATAAACACAGCTTTACATTTTTTTTCTACATACCTTGAGGTACCACATGCAGCTCGTAAACGCTGCAATGCTGGGGTGGATGAAGCATCCCATAGGAGCATGGGGGGCCCCTCTGCACCTCCCTGGCTCGGCAATTGTCCATGGGGGGACCCCAGGTGCCCCCCCAGATCCAGAAGGCACCAGTTGCCGAGCTGAGACACAGGGGGCCCCCTGGCGTGTTCCCTGGCAGTGCTTCTGGTCCACTTCCAGGTCTGCTGCTGAGTGCACCGGGGAGCCCCCTGTGCTCCTGTGGGACGCTCCATCTGCCCCACCATTGCAGCATTCACAAGCTGCCTGGTACCTTGAGGTATGTAGAAAAAACATTTGAAACTGTGCCTATGTCCGCATCGTCGAATCTCTCCAAATCGATTCAGAGGGTTCTGATTCGATTCAGAGAGATTAAAAGGTCTCCTGATTGGATTTGGAGATTCGGCCACTGAATCAGGCCAAATCTCCGCCAAATTGAATCAGGGACCAAAGCTTCACACAGCCCTACTATCCATCACTGTTATCTCAATGTTTTCTGGATTAAGTCAGCCAGCTAACCCTTATACAAGCCTTTCCATGCTCTTGTCCTTTCCTTGGTGATCCAGTTTTCAGTCCAAAGTCTCAAGGATTCAAGGGATAAAGAAATCGTACAAGAAATTGACCAAATGTAGGACTTGCTGTATGTTAATTAACACAATGCAATTAGCACTTGGGCTTTGCCCTTCCAAGTGTTATTATAACAACATTCATCTTATTTACAGTGAACACTCTTGTGCTCAGACACGCACACATGCACACGCACATGTTTGGTAACAGTTTCTTACCCTTGGAGTTCTGAGACAATCCAAGCCACACACTTTTAGTGATAAGGTCATTTTCTCTTATCTGTGTGCTGACAAATTTATTTTCATCAGCATCCTTTATAGTGAGAAGTGTTGCAGATGGATCTAAGGAAAAAGAAGTTTTACTTGTCAAACAGAAGTAACATTTAAGTCTTTCCTATTGTCTTCTTATACTTCAGTGAATTTTATACATAACCAAAGGGCTAATTTAACAACAGGCTGTCCAACTACCGGCTTAACTCATGGCTCCCAGTCCAGGCACCACTCTCCATGTTGCTCTCCTGCTGCTGCCACTGAGGTCTCCAGGCTCTCCTTCCCTCCTCCAGCTATCACTTCTTGTCCCTGCCCCTGCGGGTGGTGTAGCATGGCCCATGGGGCATAGGGAGCCTGTGGCCCAAGAGCCCTGCATGTATGGAGTAGTATAGCAGGGAGGCCTGTGCAGTGCAGCAGGGAGTGCCCATGGCAGCTTTGGTAACACAAGTTGGATAGATCTGATTTAAGGTATAGGAATAAGAAAACAAATTTATAACTCTAGCTTCCTAAAAATTTAGGTGAGAAGATATAATGCAATGTTATGAGTAGCCTCAGATGTTAGTTAACTTCTTTTTTGTCATCCAGGTAAGTGAAGAAGAATAAAACAAACACAAGACTCCTGCAGATTGTTTGTGTGGGAGGTATTATATTATATTTTATGGAAACTGAAGGATCGATTTTGCCAGGTTACAGATATCTACTGCAAGACACTATTTCCATCATCCTAAGCAGAAGCTCGGCATCTTGCAGAACCACATTAATATTGATATAGAATGTCATAGTAGATAAGGTGTAAATAGCAGCAGATGTGACAAAACTAAGCTTCAAAACATCTAATCTTTCATAAGCAAAAAGAATTTTAGCCCAGAAACAGAACATAGAGAAGAGTCCCTCTTGCTCTAACTCACACTAGGGCCAGGTGGCCAGTGGTAAGAAGTCACACTTGAAAGTAGGGCCATGTATCCCTTCACATTTCAGACCACCCTACTCTGTCTCACCTTAAATAAATAAAATATATTCCTATAATAAAAAGTGGCAATTTGCAGCTCTGAAAACAGCAAAGGATTCTGATCAGATCAAAGGATCAAAAAAGAGCAAATAAAATCTTCCATTACAAATATTCCTAAAGAAATATAAATCTGAAATATTGCCAACTATCCTTGAACAAGGGACTGTTTATAAAATGTAGCACCTTATAAAATATCCAAACATACCCAATTTTTGGCAAACGTTTTTAGCATCTTCTGCAGTATATACTGAAAAATTGTAAAATGCCATGTCAAATGCATAGCAGTGCTCCTTATATTGAAGCCACTGATATGTTCCTGTATTCTGTGGACATCTGGGAGAGCCTTTTGTTTGCTGCAGTTGTAGTTGTCTCTCTATAGAAAAAAAAACCCAAAGATGGTGCATTATGCAAATTAACAAGGGATTTGCACAGTCAAAAACTTCTGTTGTGGAAGTGATGCCCAAGAAAACACACAGAGTCAGGGATTACTAACTGGTATATGACAAAAATCAGAATATGTTCCCTTCAATTTGTTTCTTCAAATATAGCAGATTAATTCATTACAATCAATTAGTATAGGAAAAATCCCAAATATTTTGGACACCGACTCTTCCATTAGTAATGGTGGTCATTCCTTTTTACTGAATTTCATGTGGCAGTGAAATCTGGAATCTTCAGTTTTATGGGTTGCTGATCCAAGGTACTCAATAGAGACATTTATGCCATACGTCAACAAGAGGTGCTTAGTCAAATAATTTAGGAAAAGTATATTTATTTCTGTGAAATGTTGGGTTATTTTGGAAATGATTCCTCTGGTTTGGAGAAACTAACGAAGACCCCAGTTCTGTTGATCAGATTTTGCCTTACATTGGGGTATGAAACTAACACAGCTGCTGATAGTCACATCTGCTCAGATCGCATAATTTACTACTGACATTAATAAATTAATACAATAATTTTCTTAGCACCTTTTATCCAAGGATCACAAAAGGGAGATGAAAATGAACAGGATACAGAAAGGCTGTGCTTTACCCAGGCCACAAACCAAATCAGTAGTGGGACTGAATATAAAAGCCAGGTCTCCCAATTACCAGTCTTCTGTTCTAAATACTAATCTCAACACTGCCCAGCAAGAACCGCTCAACAGTTCACAATCAGTGCATATTCTGTGCAGGCTCAAACAGAAATCTAGTGATATTATTATACGATTATTTTAGAGAACAAACATAACACTTAAACAAAAGCTGAAGTGAAAACATTTGAGAAGAAACAGAACTCTCTCTTTGATCAGATTATCTCAGGAGGAGGGCAGTTATTTCAGTTGGAGGGCCACTTAATGAGTTTTGGTGAGCTGTCGAGGGCTGCACACAAAATCTTTTAGAAGATATAATTTTAACAAATCCTATACTAAAAAAAGAAAAAAAAAAAAATCAATCTACTATATTATAATTTTATTTCAAAAAATAATTTTTGTCCAGATCCAGGATTTGTTTGTTTTTTTGAGTAGCATATATACAAATGATTGCATGATAGCTCAAAATAAAGTCTTATTTGTACATTGTTTGTGAAGGGATGTAGGTGTGTTGGGGGGGGAGTAGGGTGGAGAGGGGTGTGCAGGTGTGTATGTTGGGGCTGCCCGTGTTTTAGGTCCCGGGGGTGGAGGGAATGACAGGTGGAGGGAAGAGGTGGGGACAGGGTAGCAGAGCTCACCTGGGAAGTATAGGTGCTGTCTGCATCTCCCTCTTCCAGCCTGCACTGCCCCTGTGCACTCAGCAAGGGGCTGAGCCCCACTCACTTCTGTCCACAGCAGTCCACACGATGCTCCTGCCTGTGCTCACCAGCATGCACAGCTTCCTAATGGAGCCGTTCCCCCCCTAGGTGCTGCTCAGCTCCCCCTGCCTCCAGAGGCTCCTCCTCCTTCTACCTCTGCTGTGCTGCTCAGGAGGGGGGTGGGGCAGGGAGGAAAGGAAGTTTCAGCCAGGTGGCTCCTACCCCAGAGTGTGGGGCTCTGGCTCCAGCTCCAGGCTGCCTGCCACCCACAAATGGTTTGTCATACTGCTCAGCAGGTGGAGTGGATGGAAGGTGGCCAGGAGCTAGAGCCAGAGCCCCGTGCGCTGGGGCAGGAGCCATCTGGCTGAAGCTCTTATGTTAATCAATGATAATGCAAGCATGTGAAAAAGTAATTCTGCATATATTCTAAGAAAACAGTAAGTCTTACTTTTTGAAGAGGTATAGCAAATGGCACCCTCAGCAACATCTGTACACTTTGTACGATTCCAAAACCCTTTCAGATCCAACAGAACACAGTTCCCAGTAGATGCTGAGCTTTTGAATTCCCAGGGATTGTAGTCAAACATACTTCCATCAGACCATTCAAAATTAGATTTACTTCCCTGACAAAAGAATAATTACTGTGGTCAGCTACTAATTAGTCAGACAAAAATAGCTAAGAGGGAGCTAAAACTTTGAAAGCATTGGTGACTAATGACCAACACCCTCCAAATCAGTACTGAACCAATGCCTCACATTGTAAGTAGGTGCTGATACCCAGGCACTACTTAGAACTGAGGCTCTGGTCACTCATGGGCATCAAGGAACCTTTGATATCCTTTGTAAGTGCACAGCTGTGCCCAGACCCAGTTTCAACATAGTCAACAGTTTCTCTTTAATCGAAATCACAGGGTGAACTTAAATAAGGTATTTTTCACTTCCTGTCGTAAACCCTACAAAGTGCACTTCTTTATGCTAGCAGGCATATATTGGGGCAACATACAATATACAATCAGTTGTTCATTCTAAAGTACATCTGGGTATCGGAAACAAATGTAAATACAATAACATACAAAAAAGTGACATTAGTGGTAGGTGACTAAGGGTATGGAAAGATCATAACAATAGTAAAGCCAGTTTAACAATTATTGTTACAGGAAGGGACAGTCATGACAGCACAAACTTACATCATGGATTGACAACCCAAGCCACAGTGGGTAACCATCACGTTTTACAATATCATCCAGAAACAGTTGCTGGGATTCATTGTGTACACTGGCTAAATCCATCCCATTTTTTTTGCATTCTTTCAGTGCCTCATACCAGGTTAATTTTTTCTGAAGGATCTTGTATGTGTTATCTCCATATGGTATAGAAGCAGGCAATGGCGGTTTAGTCTCTCTTGGCCCTATTTCAAGATTAAGATTATAATAAATTCTCTGCACTTCATTCATGTTACTAAAAATACAAGGAAATAATGAAAATCCTATCAATCAATAACAACTCAAGCACAGAAACACTGAATCCAAATTACTTAAAGGATTCAAAGCATCTTTTTCTTATACCTACTGACAAGAAAAATACTGCAGGGACATCCATCTTGATAGACTGTAACAGTATCAAATGATACTGATAAACTGTTACAATATAACTATTAAAGTTACATATTCCTGTAGCAATGCAAGTGTAGCAAACAGTTTGCAAGTTTAACCTTGTTTAATACAGGTATACAGTTACGGTTATTTAACTAACTTAAGAGGCTCATGCAAATGTAACAGTTATACTAACCGCTGATGCAAGGTTCTCTTCCCCTTTTAAACTAGTTGAAAGTTACGTTTGTCCATATCTTGATCATAGTGCCAGATGGTTTGATCCTGCACTATAAGAGTTTTGCCATTGACTTTAATGAGAACAGATATAACACTTAATGGGATGGCTGCAGGATTACATGCTAAATTAAGACTTCCTTTCCAGCCTCCACAATATAGGTGCAACTTCATTTTTCACGTTACTTACCCATTTCAATTTTACAGGCAAGAATACTGTGCAGATTGAAGTGCTGAGGATGCCAATTTGCTGTGTAGTTGTAAATATCCCAGAAACCATCATAATTTATACCAGCAAAAAATTGATTCTTTTTTACATTAGGTCTGCCTTCTCTCCAGTTTTGGTAAGACAGGTAAGTTTCATCATACCACTTCAGAAAATTATCTGTGGAAAACAGGTTTCTGTATTTAGCCCTGAGTAAAGCACGTTTTTTTAATAAACACCATGATCATCTAAAAGTGAAGATGGTGTACTCCTCTCCCAGTATTTGTAGACATTCACTTTAGAACACAAAGCCTAATATTACCTTTTATCCTAAAGGAAACCATAGAAACTTTAAGTCCTCATCAAAATTCTTACTGTCAAAAGAAAATATACTTGAATTTTCAGTTCCAATCTTGATAATTTCCAGATTACAGAAACAAATCTGAATTAAAAGCAAACAACCAATTCCCTAGTAAGTGGCCCTATATTAATTTTCTGAGGAAAAGAATGGTTTGATAGTCTGAAAAACACCTGTAACTGGGAATCAGGAAATTCTGAATCATATCCTGGCTATAATTACAGGCCATGATCCCCTCTATAACCTAATAAAACAACTCTTCTCTGCCCCGTTTTCTCATGTTTTTAAATGATTCTAAGATTATCAGGACTCTGTTCTGCAACCAGAAAATATGCAACACAATATACTCCTTTTGCCACAATATTATGCTCCAAAACAACGGTGCTCAACCTTTTTGCCTGGCAAGCCAGATAGGCAGTGTGTGGTCTATCCATGGGCTAGATCCAGCTGCTGGTCTTGATCTGGCATAAAGAGGCAGGGCACAGAACAACAACATTTGGCCTTGTGGAGGGGGGCAGAGACCAGCTTGGCCCATCCCCAATTCAGTCACGCAAGGGAAGGAGACTCGGTTCAGCTGTAACCTAGCTTTGTGGGAGGAAGAGATCATGACCTGGCTCCAAATCCAGCTGTGCAGGTGAATGGGCATGGTTTAGCGTCAATCCAATTTAGCAGGGGAGCGGGTGTAGTCGGCCCCAATCTGGCCACATGGAGGAATCAGGGCATGCTCTGGCTCTGATCTGGCCATGGGGCTTGGGAATTTGGCAGCGGGGGGCGAGGTGTCAGTATTAATTATCACTGCTCCCGTTGCCAAATTTCCTGAATCCCACAGTTCAGATGCCATGGCTCCACGAATCGCATTTGGTCCACAGGCTGGAGGTTGAGCACTCCTGCTCTAAAATAATTGGATTTTTTAATATTTTTAGTCTGTGATATAACTGATGCAGTGTTATCTTTCTGTCTTCTAGACAGCCTGAAATACTTCCTTCAGTAAGCAGGTCCAAGACCTAAGAGGTGAACATGTTGAAAATCACAGAAATCAGATCTTTATTCCTGAAGTGTCAACTTCTATACTATATTATTTAACCAAACAGAGTTAATGTATTCATAGCATCACTGCTCTACTCCTGGAGTTGCATCTTACAAGATGTTGAGCACATCTTTCAGGAGCTGAGCTCTCTTAACTTCCAATAAAGTTAAGTGATAACTGAAAGGGCTGAACATTTGATAAAACAGTCCCAGATGTTCAAAGCCCCAACTCCCCTTAAAGAAATGCAGTTGTGTATTATCAATAATTTAAAAAGCTTTAGAATACAGAAAATGTGAGGAAAGTATAAAATGAAACAAATAAATGCAAAACCTACTGAACTGACCGTCCTCTAAAACGAAAATTTCAATCATTTTAATTTAAAACTGCCAGGGAATTTTTAGTTTGCTCTAGTGCTGCAGCAGAGTATATAGGTCTTTGAGGATAACAAGGAAAATACTGGTCTGCTTTACAGAATATCAATCATTCATCTTTGTAAGGTTTGAGGTTGAAAGGCATCAATACAACTATTTAAAAGAGACAGTAGTTCAGGAAAGTTACTGCATTTAACAGAGAACAAAGTGTTAGTTATAAGTAGAAGCTCTAGGAAGGGCACAAGTTTCTTATTCTCTTTGGGCTGGGAAGTCAGTGGTATGGAGCACTAGTGACATCAGTGGAAGTTGGAGGTGACCTGTAGATTACCATATACAGTAAAAGCTTTGTTATCCGTCACCTATGGGGGCTGGGGGGTGCCAGATAACAAAACATGCTGGTTAACTGAGTGGCTCAAACAGGTGTCTTTGCCTGTTAAGGCCGCCACCTCTCCCACCGCATCTGGGGTGTCACCACCACTCCCATCGCATCACTGCCCTTCCCACAGGCCCTGAGGGACAGGGAGGGGGGCCCCATGCAAACTGCTATGCCCCGGGCCATGGGGGCTCGGTGAAAATGGAAGTGCCATGGTGGGCACTTCCATCTTCACTTTTCCCTTACAAGCCAGCACGCCAGTTAATAGAGCATGCTGGCTTGCAAGGTGCTGGATAGCGCAGCTTTTACTATACTTCTTTTAATTATGGCTCTAATTCAGGGGCAGGCAATTGTTTTGGGGCGGAGGGCCGCTTACCAACTTTTGGCAAGCCACTGAGGGCTGCATAGGTAGCCCCGCCCCTTGACAGGTGCCATGACCCCTGGTCACCATCTTGGCACTGAAAATCCTACTCCTTAACCCCTGACCTTTGCCACCAGAAGTCCCTTGCCTTGCCCCCTGGAATTATTCCTTTCAGCAAGGGGATTTGCTCTCTCTGGGCCAGATATATACCAAGTTATATTCTAAAAATGAAATGTACTACAACATTAATTAATTCCATTAAAAAATAAATTTTTGTCCCAATTTACATGCACTTGTGTAGTGTACATAGAGGTGATAGTGTAACAGCTTAAATTAAAATCTTACTCTTCTTTATTGTGAGAGGGGGGTGGGGGGG